CGCGTCGTAAATGTGCCCGGACTTCACCGGCAACTCCTTTTCTAGTAGCTTTTGAAGGAAAGACTTTAATTGGGCTGAAAGTTGCTCCGATGACAAATTATCGGCAGCCTCCGGGCGCTGCTGTAGCGCAGCGGGGGTTCGGGCCGCCCTGATCCCCGGCGGGGCCGGGGTGCTCCCGGGCCAGGGGTGGGGAATCCCCGGCAGGCAGCAGCCAGGGAAGGAGAGCGCCCGTCGCTCACGACAAAGGAATGTGGGGAACACGCGCAGCTTCCTCCTTCTCGGAGGCCTGACCTTCAGAGCGCATCGCAAAGCCTGTCTGCCTATTTGGGGAGGGTCGGCAGCAGAGGGAAGTCGGTGGTTAGATGGGCTAAGGCTTTATTTGCGGGCAGGTTTCACAAAGCAGGCCGTGCGCTGCTGCTCCTCTCGACTGGAAGCACCTGAGCTCGGCGGCATCTCATCTTGCAGGAAGGGCCTCAGTCTTTTTTTAATACAATTTTAAGTGATAAATGTAAAAATGTCCCGAAATGCAACAGCATCAGATAAACTTTGTTGTTGTAATAATAATAGTAATAGACCTGCTTGTGGGGGCTTCGGGGGCCGGGTGTCGTCGTCCCCGGTTCAGCGCGGTGGTAACGTCCAGGGGCGTTTCTGAGCTGGTTTTATCCTTGCTGCCGAGACCGGCAGATAAAACCGAAGCCGTTTTTCCAATTCAGGCTTCCCTGCTGTCAATTTTTGCAACACTAGAGCGAGCAGAGGAGTTGCAAGAAAAACTTGGATTTGTGTCAGAAGATCTTAAGGTGGCATTTGGGGAAACTATTTTTAGCAGGATTGCGTAACTTAAAAGCTGAGACTTTACCTACTGGGCAAATTTTTCTTCCCCTGCGCACGGCGCGGTCCTGCTGGAAACGCCTCTCGCCCCAGCTTTTCTCCCGGCCGAGTGAGGTGGGGGTTTGAGGCGAGCAGAGTTCTGGCCGAGGGCTGGAATTTCCGAAGCGAAGTGCCACGGGGAGGCAGCCGGTGTTTAGATGACCGGCTCGGTCGCAATCAGCCTGTCGGGGAGACTGGGATGCACGAGGGCTCCCTGAGACTGGCTGGGGACTCCAGAGCGACCATTATTCTTGCCATTTAAATTAAAAAAAACAGGGGAAAAAAAAAAAAGGCAGAGTAATTTTTTTTATATGGTTGGAAGACAGGGCGAGGAGCGGTCTGAGGTGCGGTGGTGGTTCTCTGTTCTCGTGACCGACTTCAGAGCCTCGTCCCCAGGGGAATGTCTGCCTGCGTCGGAGGCGCACAGGGCTCGTGTTGCAGGCGCTCGATGGTTTCTGCACGGGTTATTCTGCTTTTTAGGAGAGTTGCAAAGGCTCTCCGGGAAGCGCAGGTTTCTCTTCTGTGGGGCTGAAGGCCTGGGTTCCTGTGTGGAGGAAGAGAGGTGTCTTCATCTGGGCCCTGAGAGGGGGGTGAAGGGCAGGGCACAGCCTTCCACCTCGGTTTTTACAATGCTCACTTTTCCTTCCCTTTTTTTCCCCCCCCCGTGACTAGATCTGTCCTGTCTGACCTTACGACTCCTGCGTGGCAGCGGCTCTTGGCCCTCGACGAACGACATTTTAAACTGTAGAAGAGGAAGGGGAAAAGATGGGCCATTGGGAGCGTCTCCCTGAAAAGAGTAAGCCCAGCCCAGCCCTGCCTCTTTGCTGCTTAGGGAGGAATTCTGCCACGGAAGGTAAATCAAGTACCGCTCAGAACTTTCTCCGTCTGTGCGCGGGGGATGAGTTTTAAGTCCTTCCTCCACACACGTGGAGCCTCCGACATGTGAACAGTTAGAGTTACATCAGCAGTTTTATGGGGTGTTGCTTTATATATGCTTTCAGGGCTTTTCAGTTGGCTGCTGCCGATAACTTTGAAGTCATATTTATCTGAAAACTTTGTTTTTGCTCGGCTAACGAGAAAGGTCTCTGTATGTCTTGACAGTCCCCCTGTCGCAGCTGGCAGTGCAACACGTACGGCTGTTCTCGCAGCTTGTAGCTGCCTGATCTCTCCCCCGGCAGGTTTACCTAGAGCACCGTTTAGAGATCGCAGCCTGCTGTTCACGGGTCCGTGCAGGTTCGCGGTGAAGGACACGGCTCTTGCTCTAAAGCCGTTAAAGAACCCGTGTTGTAAATCAACGTCTACGGGGAAATAGCAAGATCTTCCTTAAATTTCAGAGGTTTAAAATAAATCCTGCCAAACTGGCTTAAAAACTGCCCCTGCCTGATTTCTGTATCTCTTGTTTCACTTGGTGCTCTAGAAGAAGGGCAGGCGCTGGGATTCCCAGGGCGCTCTCGGAAGTGCGAGGTTCCCTGTGACTTGCAGGGAAAGTGCTTTGTTAACGAAACCCGCCGATGAGGCTGGAGTTCTGGAAAGGCATCCCAAAAGGCTGCAGAGGCAGCTGGAGGCAATGCGAAGCGAACTTCAAACAGAGCTAAAGGTAAAAGCGAGCCGCGAGTTGCGCTGCTCGGCAGCCTCTGCCTGTGTTTTCTCGCCGATCAGCCAGCTTGGTGACTGGCCAACTGCCGGGGCTTCGCAGCTTGTGTGGGCTCCTCGCGGCGGAAAACCGGAGACACTTCGTGCTGTTCTGCGAGGATGGGGTTATTCACCGAGTCTGAAGAGATCCCTCGCATCCGAATGCTTTAGACCGAAGGCAAAAAGCTCTTTGGTCTTCTCATGTTAGGATTTCCGTGTGGTAGCTGCTCCGGACTCGCTCGGTACAACGGTAGTGCCGGTAGTCGAAGGTGGGTCTGACCGGGAGCGTGGAGACTTGGCCGAGCTGCGCAGGCCAGGCTGCTGAGCTGCCTCAGCAAGGGGCCCGGGTTCTGCCCTGGGCTCCTGGGAATCCTCTCCTCCTCTTTGAGGAGCTGGGACCTCTTGGGGTGCTGCTGGTGGAGGTGGTGGCTCCCGGGCATCCTCCCGCCTGCCAGCTCTGCCTTTCCGCGGCAGGTAGCGGAGCAGCACGTCTGCCCCTGCTTCAACGAACTGCCCGGTGTAGTTTCCTTTGGGACAAGGCATCGCTCCCACTTCTGGCGGAGCAGTTAGAGTTGGGAGGGGACAGGCTGCTGGCGGAGCAGCGATGCTGTGTGCTTTTTATAACTGAGTGTGCGTATTCAGACATTTTGCTGGCTGTGACTTGTATCTGCTGTTTGGAAACTAGTTTAACTTCAGATTTAGGCTCTTCATTTTCTTGGTGTCTTGACACCGTAAGAAACAGACCAGAAAATAAAAGGCTTGGCAGAGCTGGGTAAAGTGTGCTGTGCAATTCCAGCGTGGCCCCAGCTGTTAACAAGTGGCTTGTTCCGCTTATCTAACGAAGGGAAACCTGCCTCGCAGACCCTCGCGTCCTTCTCTGCCTTATCTGTAGCCATGAGCGCTCTCCAGACAAACCGCTTCTCGCGAGTGCAGGGCCCGGCACGTGTGCGAGGCCCCGTCCCGGTCAGAGCCTGCCGGTGTCTCTGCCGTCACCGATGAGGAACGTGCAGCCCCCCCAAAAGTAGGCTGGGGCCGGGTTCCTGCCTCTGGGCTCTCGGTGGCAACGTCTTCCTCTGGTCTTGCTGCATCTGCCTGTAGACATGCTGCGGGCTGCGGCAGCGTGCTGCGCCGCATTCCTCCGTGATCTCTGGGGTTTGTGGGATGTGTCAGAGCTCAGGTGGCAGCCGGGGAGGGCAGCTGGTGCCCCTGCAGCGGGTGGCTTGAGTAGTTTTTAATGGGAGCTCGTACCCCAAGTCACGGGAACTCGTTTAGTTCCTGCCCGGGTTCCCGGTAGGCAGGAGCTGTTGCAGACAGAGCTCAAGCAAAATAGAGACTTTGCAGTGTTGAAATGCAGCAAGTGGGAAGAATATTCTAAGCTCGCAGCAGAAAGAACAAAACCTGAAATGTGTGTTTCTGCCTGGATCTTGAACATTTCCCTTCTGATTTACCTGGGGCGTAGGAACCTGAGGCTTGGGAGGCTGCGGTTCTGTTTGCGATACCCGGACCGAGCGTATCCCCCGTTCCTGAGGATGATCGGTGACGGTGACAGCCGTGTATGCTGGGAGGGTCACGGGCAGGGTCTCACCCCAGCACCGCAGCCTCTGCAAGGCAGGCGAGTGCTCGGCCGGGGCGGGAGACGAAGCGTGGGTGTAGCCCTGTGAAGGAGCGCATCCCCCTCCTTTTGAAGTTTTTTTTGAGGAATATAATGCTGCCTTGTGGAAATCTGCCACGAGGTTTCCTTCCCTGACACAAAAGTGGTGCTGACCTTTGAGTGTTCTCCCAGTCGTCCCAGCGTGGTTGCGTATCTGTGGGGTTTGGCGTATTATTTCTGCCCCTTTGGCAGTCCTGTCGAGGCGCCAAAGCCCCTTCACAGCGCTGCCGATTGAGTTCCTGAGCTTTGGGAGGGCTTGATCTGAAAAAAGTACAGAAGGGAAGTGGCAGGAATTGGGTGGGCAGCTCAGCAGCTCCAGGTCAGGCCACCCTGTCAGAATGTTTTAATAAAGAGCAGGACCTTGACGTTCCCAAAACAATGTGACTTTTATTCCCCCCCCAGAAGTCGTTGCCATGGCTTAGCAACCTGCGGCAACAAACCTGCGTTCCCTGAGCCGCTTTCGGTTGCGAAGCAGAGGCTCGCAGTCAGCTGCGATTCCTGATTGTGCATTTCATAGGGCTGTAGGACTGGACGCAGAGCCAAGGACTCGGCAAGCAGGGAGATCTTGTCATGTTCCTCGCAGGCTGGAGGTAAGGGTGGCTGGAGCGGAGCAGGGGTCTGATGGATGTCGCTTCTGCTCATCGCACGGCTCTGGAAGGGAGCTGCCGTTTCAGTTCTCCGTCTGTGGAATTGGGGATGGGATGGATAAAAGCTGTCTTGCGCCGGGCACGCGCAGGCGAACAGGCTGTGCTGGAGGCAGGAGGGATGGGGCACCCCGGAGTTTTACCTGGGCTGCTTGGCTTCCTTTTTCAGATGAGCCTTGCCCAGTCCGAGGGGATAACGCCCTTGCCCTGTGGCTGCACACAGGGTTGTCCACCTCCCTTTTAGACGATCCTTTGCTTCTGTAGGTGCAGAGGTGACACTGCGCAGCGTGATGTGAGCTTGGCGTGCCGAGAGCCACTCTGCTTTCAGCAGCTGCCTTGAGGAACTTCCCAAAGACTCTTTTTCTTCCTTTCTTTCCTTTCTCGAGGTGGCTGATTTCCCCGGCAAGCTCTTCTGCCTCCAGCCTCTTTCACCTAAATCCTTTCAACGCATTAAAAGTACAGAAAACAGGATGAGTTTGTCGGGTCCCAGCTGGGAGAGACTGCAGGCTGGTTGTGCTTTTGTGGTACCGGTAGCGTTGTTTCATGCTGTGGGATTTTGAGGCGCTGCCAGCGTTGGGCACGATGCCTGTAGGTGTTCCCAGGACTATCAGCCGGGCTTTAGTGATCCTGAAGAGCTTCCCAGAATAAGGAATGGCCTTGCTGGGTGGCAAAGCCCTCTAGCCTGATTCTGCAGGGGTTAAGCAATAGGAGCTCTTCAACATGTTGTTTGTCCTTCCACCAGCTACCGAAACGGGATCTTGAACATGGGTAGGGCCTCACGATTGATGTGTTTTCCTCCTATTATACAACCGAGAACGATTGTTTAACCCCGCTTTCCTTTTGATCTTGTTTGCCTGTGTGTACTTGGGCAAAAGCTTCCTTTGATTTGTGAAAGGCTTTTTAGAAAAAGGATTTTTTTTTTTTTTCCTTTGGAAAGTTTTGCTCTCTGGATGTGAGCTAATGTCAAACAGAAGATCAACACTGGAGGAAAAATCCCTGTGGAAAGAGCTGTTAGATTTGTACTCTCAATGCTTTTGGCTTTTAATTAGCAAATAATGAGTAGTATTTTTGTGTTTTGCCTGTGGCCTCTTGAATCAAAATAGTATGTACTGAAACTTTGTGGATTACAGTCAGTCATTCCTGAAGTCTCTGCTAACTGGCTAAAACACTTTGAAGAAACGCCTCCACGTAAGGAAAGTTTTAGGCCTGGGGGATATCGATTATTTCAGGTGTGGGAGGGACTGCAGCGAGGACG